AAAAAAAAAAAACTGCATATTTATTCTTACATGTTTAAATTTCAGTCACCTTCAAAGTACTCTCCGTTTGCTATAATACAAGTATCGAGACAGTTTTCCCGCCGCTCAAAGCAGTTATTTAACTAGTCGATTCTGACACCTTTAGTGCTTCTTCTGTTCTTTGTTTCACCCCTTCCACGCTGGCAAAATGTTTCCCTTTGAGGACGTTTGCATCCAGGGAAACAGAAGGTCACTTGGGACGAGATCAGGTGGGGCATGGGGACCATGCCGGTTTTGGTCACAGAGTGTGAGCAGGTACGCTGGTATATCACCCATCATAAAACGGGCAAATGCACTGAAAGGATCTTAAAAAAAAATTCACCGCAGCTGGAACGCAGCCTCTCACACCACCACTAGCTGGTACAGACACCAGTGGGTTCCAAGAACACGTACGCTAGCAGGGGAAGCCTCCAAAAGAATTCCAGGTTTGGGGGGTCCCCCTCACGTTGCCGCAGACCAGTCAGGGCCAGCCTGGAGCCTGAGCCACGCAGCCGTGGCCAGCACGGAGCAGGGCAAGAGGCTGTCCGCCAGAGCAGCACCTGCTGAGCTCAGCGGCTCCTGGGCGTCCAGGGGCTGTGGGGCGGGGCATACCCCCTCCAAGTGGCGTGCCGTCTGTTCTCCCTTCGCCCCCACACAGAGGCTGTTTGTTTTCCGGCAGCCCAGCCGACCTCTCCCAGGGGCCAGGGTTCCTTCCTCACGTGTGCGCTCAGACCCAGGGCTCGAGGGCCTCCCGTGCCCCGGCGGTGGGCAGACGCGTCCTCCGTGAGGCTGCCCCAGGCCGGCAGCTCAGCTTCCTCTGGTCGAACCGACACCGACAGCCACCTCCCCTCCCTCCCACGTCCCAGATCCTGCAACTCACCGCGCGCTCACGAGCTCCGGGCCGTCACTCAGGGGACGCCGCCAAGGCCCCCATCCCCGCTCTCACAACACGAATGAGTGAGGTCATGTCACTCAAAACCGGAAGAAAACGGTAGAAGTGTCCAACTGCCTAACGTGTCTCTTTGCACCTCTGAGTGTAGAATAAGATTAGAAGTAAACAGGACAGAACTGAACAATAAATTCTAGAAGAGTGGGCTTGATTCAAACAAGTATAATTCTCAATTTATCACAAAATTTCCCACAAAAATTTACAATCAGCAAAATATTTTCCTTATTTTTCATGTAGCAATTTCATACAATTCCATGGTTGCGCTCTTATTATGTGTTACAATAAGCCTTCATTAGTCCCTCAAAAGGATGATATAAATAGTCAGTCTGTACAACCCACCATAGGATAAAAAACCGAAGCCAAGATTCCCAACAGTTTTCATAGCAGCCGGGCACACTCTGGTGACCCCAACGAGAGCCTCCTGGCAGCAGCCAGGAGTCGGTCAGCTTCCGGAAGCAGGGCCTGGGGCAGCCCCGACAGGGAGACAGGCGAGACCGCGGAGCCCGAAAATCTGACGTGTCTCAAGGAAACTCGAGGGAGGAACTTGGACTAGAAGGAGGGGCAGACGGGCTCCTCAGCCACCCGGAACGCTGGAGTGTCAGGAAAGCACTGGGCTGGCGGGGGCTGGCAGGGGCTGACCTGCCTCAGCCCGGCCGCCGCAGCTCAGAGAGTTAAGGTCTGCCTCCAGCGTCCACAGCAGCAACCTCAGGGTTTGGGAGGAATCCTCCTCTCCCCTGCGGCTGAAGATAAAATCGAAAAGCAAAAGCAAGTCCATGCTCGCACGAGTGGCATCCATCCTGACCTGAGTCCTGCGCTCCCTGCTGCCCCTTCACAGAGCCACGGGCTTCAGAACCGCCACAGGGACCCTGAGTCTAGACCGCTCAGAACTGACGTCGGCCCTCACCACAGGATCACACGCTGCTGCAGGGAACTACCTGAAAGCCTGCATCGGTGTGTGGCTTGCATTGAAAAAGTGACCAAACAGCTCAGCTGGGGAAAGTTCCAGTAGTATCCATGTCTTCTGAAAAGTCCAAACTGAAAAATGCACGTAACAATTCAAGTTTTCTATGTTAGGAGTCTTGTGGTAGCAGATCCAAACCTTGGGTCTTATAATAAGGCTTTTCGCATTAGAGGATTAGACACGAGCCCTAGCTGGGAAGGAAGACCCACCCAGAAAGAGTGTCTTCCCGGGGCTTTAACGGACACTTTCATTTTAAAAATGCAAGTGGCTTCCTGGGACACGGCACTCACGTCCTACATTCCCCGTCCTGGAAGGCTTTTCTAGTGCTTCTCAATTCCATGTCTCCAAGAGGCAGTCCCACGTCAACATGGGTTAAAAGCCAAAACATCCACAGCCAGAAGTCACCCAAGACAACAGAGAACAGCTCTATCATTCAGCCTTCACATTCTATGATCAAGCTTCAGAGACGCTGCAGGAAAAAGGCTAGACTTTGTGGAGAACTAAGGTGCAATCTTCGCTTTCCTTGAACCGAGCCGACATCACAGCACTGTCTTTGGCACGTGCAGCCTTTGAGTAATAGTTGACGATCTTGCCGTCCAATTTGTGCTGGTGAGGGATGCTCTCGTAGGGCTTGAGATCAAGGTCCAGCACAGACACAGAGAAGGCGAACCTGGACCTCGACGAAGGGACCACAGGCCTCTGATCAGAGCTGCAAGGGAAAAACAATTTCAAAACACACTCTCGTGCCAGCTCACAAAGAGCAACCATTCTGTGCATCTGGATGCGCCGCGCCTCCGCCCATGCCAGCCGCGTGCAACGGCACGGGAAGCTCCTGCCAAGCAGGCCCCTGCTGCGGCGCGTACGGGCACCGCCCACACCAGACAAGAGAGGGTTCAGGGCCGCAAAGATGGAAAAGCAATTATGTAGACTCTGTGAGTGCTGTTCCCTCACCCAGTGGTGTAAATGGGCGCCGAGAAAGTCACTTCATCACAAGCCCAGTGTTACAAAACCTAAGGAAAAGTAAAAAGTCGCCCTGGCCCTTCGAGAGCCAAAGGGATGAGATGTTGAGAACGGACCTTCCTTGTGGGTCCAGGGAGAACCTCACTGAACTCCTTTATGCCTTTCACATTTGGGGAGAAATCTGGGTTTATGCTTTGGTCTAGTATCCTATCTTCAGCACTTTGGGTTTTGTTCCTCAGGGTTTAGTCTTGTGGTTTTATAAACGTCAGAACAGTCACTGCTTGCAACAAAATATGAACAGTTGCTTGTACTTTCAGAGTAACTCTGTATCTTGCACTAATGTTGCTGTGGGCCCCACCCTGCTCGGAGTACCGAGCACTCAGCACCTGGCTCTGGACGGCTGGCTAAACGAGCGGCGTGAACTCAGTTCCATCCAGGAGAGAGGTTCTGAGCTGCTGGTGTCTCTGCGCTTACTACGCATCTAGATTTGGATCAACACACACCACCAATCTCAAAAGCTCGTGCCTGGGAAAGGAAACCCCAGTGAACCGAAGCCTGCTAGCATCAAAGCCTAGACCCCACTTGATTCCTGCTCCAGGATCCTGTTTATAAGAACTCCAGGCGAATCACTGACTCGGCTGCTGAGGTCGTTAACTATTGTCTCCCGAAGAGTGGAGCGCAGCATTAACTCCCAAGTTAAGGTCTTGAATCTCTGGAAGCCGGGAGGGGCCTGAGCTCATCCGGACCAGCCCTGTTGTCCTGACAAATGGCGACGCCCAAAGCACCACTCAGTTCCAGAGCCTGAAACCCAGCCCTGCGGGCCACATCGCTGGCCCATGACAAGGGCTGCGGATCTTAAAGGCCACCTCAGTGTCTCATGTCAGAAGCAGCACCCGACAAGAGGACACGTGTAAAGACGAGGGTCTTCCCAGCAGCGCCTGCAGAAGGCGGACCATCTGGTCAGCCACAAGCTCCTGACACCACAATGCTGTCGGTCCCTCCGTGGCCCTGAGGCTGCCAACGGGCAGGAGGCTGCCGGGGACAACGTGTCCCTCAGGCCGTCAGTGTGCCCTCTGGCATCCTCAGGGAGTAGGGCCAGCAGGACTTTCTGGCCGCAGGGGCGCTACCCTCGGCCGGAGGGCCGTTCCCCAGGGCACGGGCCGGCTGGGAGGGTGGCCAGTGGGACCGGCGGCCTCCGCGGACGCT